TTTTTTAGTATAATATGTGTGTGTGTAGAAGTGAATCATTTATTGCTTGCAAACCAATGATGGTAAGATGATGTCATGGGGTAGGACTGGATAAGTCTGACTTCTTCCTACTCCATTCAAGCATGTATTAGGTATAAGCTAATTGATATTGGATTGTGTGTAAAAATGTGTGTTGTTATATCAACTGTTTTATATGCTTGAAAGAATAAATCAAATCAAATCAAATCAAGTACTGTATATTTATTTTGAAAGCAGAAAGGTGGGCTTACTTTCCATAGAACAGGCTCAATTAGTCAAAAGAAAGTAAATGGCAGGCATGTTGAACATGGAGAAACACAAAAAAGACAAGCCCAGAGGCAGCAACACCACAAAAAGTACAAAAAGGCCCCTGACCCCTCTATTGTGGGGAGACGTGACCTCAGAGATGAACCAGCTCTACAGCTGGAAAGGTCAGCAAGCACACAAGGTCAAGCCGACACAGTCGTGCTACTCTCAACATCAAAGACAAGTCCAGGGCCTGTCATGCTCCCTCTGAGCTGGGTTGAAAACAGCAGCACTAATCCCACCAACCACTCGCTGTTGCTCTGATGGAGAGGACAGAGGTCAGCTGGATGTACAAATCCTAAGTTGATTCAATCCTAGCAACTCGCTAAACTTGAAATCTTTGAAGTGTGTTTCTAGTTTTTGCCCTTTGGACCTGTCTTATGTTTGATGAATAGAGAAAATAATACTGCTGAATTAACATATGGTCTTTTGTGAGTGCTTTTATTCAAAAAACGATGCCTTTTCTTCCTTGAAAGCAATCAGAAATTTCTTGTTAGCCTCCACATGAATGATTCATGAGTTTAAAAAATAATGGTCTCCACAGCCATCTGCAGGGAGCATAACTTCAAAGTAAAATGTGATGAAATACTGAAAATGTTTGCCAGCCCTGTAAGCTTCTTAGTTGGGAACTTTAAGGTCACAGTGGCTGCCTGATGGGAGAAAACACTATTATAAATGACCACAGGAGAGAGGGCTGATGTTGAAAGATTTTTAATTTAAAGATACTGTGGCCTGGTGAAATTGAACCAGCGCAGGACACAACAATGTCTTTTGGGTGTTTTATTCTGAATATAAATAATTGGGGTTTTCTCCAAAAAAATATAAAATGAACAAGACAATGAATTAAACAACAGCGTCAACCCTGTCCCTCTCTCATTTTACAACTGCGCCCCTGCCTTGAAGTACAACAAAAAATGCTCTTCCGTTGAAGTAAGGAATACAGAAAATACAGAAATAACTGTGATGGCTCACTGTACAGAAAATCCGTCTGCAGTAATCGATTCACAACACAGTCCGCAAATCCCACGGGTCACACGGTGGGACTAAGATATTCTGTTATTACAAACTCGCGGTGTACAAGATTTACCTTAAACAACCGGTACAGATCTTCCGCTGAAATACCGCTTTGGTCAGATGAACACACATGGCTTTTTAGTTTCCCAGAATCCACTGGATCGATACCCAGTATCCTCTTCGTTCCCAGGGTTACTTCTCTAAAAGCGGTAGCACCCCTTTTTCCATACATAAGTCTAACAGGTGCATTTCCACCCGGCTACGATACCAAGGCAGGTTTTTCTAAATGAGATTATTAGGAGACTCTGCGCTCTTGTCTATTGTTTAATCTTCTCATGACAGCTCACAGATGAGGAGCCTCTTACCATCTGTCAGTGCTGCTTAATCCCATGTGCCATATCTTAGATCTCTCATCAGAAACCCGAGTCTCTCCTGACATCAACTTTATGCCTGTGAAACTGTAGGAGTGTGTTTACTTACATTTACATGTCTGAGTCTGATAAGTTTCACCCTCAAATTAAACACGACTCTGGGTTAACTGTTGAAGCTGCAGCTTATTAAAGCAACAGCTGGGAAGAATCAGGAACCCAGATAAAGAGCAATTAGTACTATCTGTGCTAAACTGCTCAGCCTCAGTTTGTGAAGATTAGGTGGAGATTTTGTTTCGACATGTGTGATAAACAGTTACCAGTATAAGAGAGGAGCTGGCAGAAGAGATGCTGTCAACATTGTTCACTTACTGATGAAGAAAAAGTGGGTGCGATTAAAACTGCAGCTAGAACTTAGCTCAACAAGTTAATGGACCATACTCAGTGTTGGCTGGTTAAATATAAGAAAAAAAGCGGCGGATGGATTAAAACTCAGTGCAAACTTTCCCAACATATGTTAAATATCAGTTTATTCTAATAAGATAAACATAGATTGTTATAATCAATGAAGAAATGAACAGAAAATAGTTTTTTGAAATAGGAAATGTAAAAGGTTTTATTTCACAGGTACATGCAATTATATGGCAGAAATGTCCATGACATGTCTAATGCAGCCACACGCCATCACAAACTTTAATTATAGCAACATAAATATTTACAAATTAAGTGTAACAATTGTGTTATACATGCTTTGAGATGCACCATTTTGTACAGCTCCAGGTTCAACCAAATCCTTAACTTTCTAGTTTTAACAAACTAGCCCAGTATAATGGCTGCTTCTCAGTGATGACTGAGGGAGCTGTGCAAAGACCAGGTGAGCTCTTTCCCACAGGTTCTGAAAACTGATCTCTGATTTCCACCAGTTGTCTTTTTACCCCGGGTGTGTCTCTACACCAGGGTCATGACTTTCAAGGAGGCAGGCTGGAACCGACGAATTTTTTTTTTCAGGGCTCGTGAAGCTTTGATGCGGCAGGCTGATGGCTCAGGGCGTGGGAGCTGCTGGAGGCGACGTCCAGCAGCGGTGGGCCCCAGTGCGGCATCAGCCCACACTAAACCTCCCTCCTCTTCAAGGCTGTCCACGTGATCCTCCTCGTACAGGGACTGGCTGCTCTCAGAGTCAGAGCAGGACTGGAAGCTCTGGCTGGACTCGCTGTCTCCAAAGTGGTTGGTGGTATTATCACTCATCTCCCCCTCGCTGCTTTCAGCAATGGTAGAGTGAAACAGGGAGGCACATTCAGCTGAATACTCAGACTCACATCTTGGTGGGTATTGGCTGGACACACGGTATGGTGCTGGAGGGTATCGGGCATTAAGATTGTGGAGGAAAGAGTTTGAGGACCCAGGGAACGGGAAGGGGTGAGGTGGTCTCATCCACTGGCCTGGCTTGGCACTCATACTGCGGACCATCTGCATGTTCCCTGGTGCCTGGACATGAGGCTCTTTTGACCTCTGACGTTGAACACATGAGGCCTGGAACATTTCCACTTCAGATGGCCATTTGGCAGCCCCCTGTCTCCTCTTCCTCTGCTCTGCAGGCTGCTCATAGTCCATACACTGAAGTCTTCGGCTTTTGCTGGACTTGTTGATGGGATTCAATTTAGGATTGACTTTCTGGGTATACATGCCATTTCCTGGGCTACAGTGGCTGGAGTCTGAGCTTGAACCCAGTCTACGGTCTTCTGTGTAACAGGTGGTAACTTTCTGGGTCACTTTTCCCTTTCCAGATCTCCTCTGCTCCCCCTTGGCTCCACTGCTGGCCTCTCTGCTCCTTTCACCGTGTTGCTGCCTCATTGCTCGAGGCTTCTCACTGCTTTTTCTTCTCAGCTTCACGGCTTTGGTTTTACGGTCTGCCTGTCTTACCTTGACCCTCTGAGATCCAGCAGGGACAAACTTGGCATGGACGAACTCAGGGGAATTTGTGAGACCAGAATGAACCTCGAAGCCTTGACTCTTCTCTGTGCTCGAGCTGTGGCTTATCACTGGCCTTTCTCTGTAACCCCTCCTCTCTTGTGGGGTTGACTCCAGCTTATTCCCACATCTCTTCGCTGAATGGTTTCCTGTCCCACTAGCATATTCTTCTTGTGGTTTATCATTCTTCCTCACAGATGTAGTGGCAACTTCATCAGAGCTGTACTCTCTCATAGCAACAGGATAGGAATATCTTTGTGAAACCTCTGGGGCTTTCAATGACTGGCTGTGGTTCGTGCTGTCAACTGGCTCTTGGCTGGAGTATGTTATGCGTTGTCTTTTCTGATCACTATTTAGTGGGGTGATGTTTGTGTTCTGGGTTGGAAGAGGCTGGTGCAGAGTCACCTCAGACTGACACACTTCAGGAAACACAGCTACAACTTCAGTGGGCTTTCTGGGGTAGTCACACTGCGACTGCTGAATGTCTGTGCCTGTTTCATTCTGGATTTTGCTCAAGCTGCGCTGGAGGAGCTGGTCAATGTAACCCAGGGTCTCATAACCCATTTGCATCCTGTGAAGGGTGTCAGAACCTTTCAGTGGGGGTCCATGGCCCTCTAGAAGCCCAGGTGTGGCTGGGTTCCTTCCATTGGAAAAAATGGGACTCTGGAGAGCCACTGCATGCAAGGGGCTGGGGTAGTGATACACTTCAGCACCACCGCGAGACAACAGGTTGCTCTGAAACTTGGGGTCCACTGAGGAACTCTTCAGGTTTGGGCACACTGGCAACTTCTTTGCACCCACAGATTTGCAGTAGCTTGGTCCTTGAGTCATCATCCAATCAAGATCACCTGATAGGTAACACAAGAATACTGATGAACCTTTTAAAGCTCTCATCCACTGAAAAACACTGTTATTATGCAGCAAAATACATGGTGAGTTGCTTATTAGCAACTGTTGAATGGTTCCCACTACTACATGAGAAACTACCTTAAATTAGAGACTGAGAGATGTGGTTACCTGTGGACACAGGTCTTGGTCGTGTCTGTTCAGTGCCTGTAGTGCTTCCTCGGATCCTGCTGCTGCCCAGATGGATGCCTGTGGCCCAAGGAGGGTTGGGCTGGGTAGTGCTCTCATCAGCAGAGCGTCTGTGGCAGACATCAATGTGTGATGGAGGGCTAATGTGGGAATTAGGTGGGCTCACAGGAAGGAGGAGAAGGCTTGTCTGGGAGGATGACAGACACTCGCTATACACAGAGGTGCAGGAGTTAGACAGGGAGCAGGAGCCACCATCGCTGAGCTCATAAAAACCTGGAGAGATCAGGAACAATGACACAACTATTTGTCTCAGTATTTAACATCACGTGATGGTAGGCTGGGCGCATATTTTGTTACTTGCTATAAAGTAAACAGCCATAAGGCTTTTTTATGTGAGTGTGTGCCTACACACCTGAACTTGGCCTGCTGTCAGTCTCCAGCTGCTCTGTGGAGGCCTTGCTCACATCAAGCTTCAGCTCACTGATCTGCTGGTCCAGCTGCTGCAAGTGAGTCTTCAGGCCTACATCCTGCTTCTGAAGGCGTGACTGTAAAACAAACAAGTAATTCTTTAGCCAACCCTCCTAAACTATGTGATACAACCTAAAGCCAGAAGGCAAGTCTAATTAGATTTTCTATGGAAAGCAGGGCATTCAAGCTCCTCAGTCACACACATGTATACAATTACACCAGAATTCTTTGCACAGGTGTGAACAGGACAGTTAAGCTGAAAAATCAGGATGTAGGTTAGAAAAGCTATATTTTTTTAAAAGATCTTTTAAAAATCATTTGTTCAGATAAAAGATGTGCTAATGTATAGCCATCAGAAAAACAAAAGCTACAACTGTGGCTGATGATTAACCCCAGCAGGACATGGGGGAGCATGGAAGAGGCAGTGGTGGGTAACTCATTTCTCCCCCACAGTGAGGGCCTGGCCATTGTGTAAACTACTAGAGGAGGAAATCTTGGGGGCTGGGATGGAGGACTGTTTGGGCTTTTACTGTTACAGTGGATCTTAAAATGAGGAGGTCACTGCCTGCAAAAAATACACAATTTAAGTAATATTTCAATCACTCGTAAGAGCAACTTAGGTCTGCTGGTTTCTACAAAGGCACTAAAGTGGCCTGGCTGCATCCTCTAGTCTTCATGTGTCTATTGCTGTGGGCTTAGATGGGTTTTTGTAAATCTACAATTGCTGTATTCTGAGAGAGTGTAGAGCACAATTAAAACACTGTCTAATCACAAGTTATCTTTCACTTCATTCCTGGGCTGTGCGGAAAGCCAAGTATGGTAGCTCAATCCCTACACTTCTTCTAAACACTCATGGAAAAAGCTTGTCATGAAAAACACTAACACTTACCTCTCAGGGCCGAGACTCCCACTGGGTGTCATTCACAGCAGAATATCCACCTTTAAAAACACACTACCATTTTTTTTTTAATCTCCTGGCATTAGTGGTTAATGATTGAGGTTTTGCCTCCTACAGTCTACACGCGCACTGTGTGCGCGCGCGCGCACACACACAACCCTGTCCTCCTGGTCAGGCAATGACCCTTGATTTATGACACCTATCCGACTTCCTACCCCCAGCTGAGAACATTAAAGTGTGTCTGGTAATAACTGAAGGCAGAATTCACATGAACGTCAGCTGAGGCAGGCTTCAAACTGATGCTTTTACTCCGCGGACAGTGAAACTAAATTTGTGAATTTGAGCTCAGCGTTAATCCAATAGTTATGAATGAGAACTATACTAAAAGTTTAATGCTGACACCAAAGGGTAACGTCCCCAGAGAAGCGTTGTAATTGTTTGCTTTTATATGGTATTCATTAATTTCCTACCAGCTGTTGCTTCAGAGCTGTCAGAGTCGCCTCCAGTCGCTGTTCCTCAGTCCCCATCATCCTGGGAACCTCCGGGGTGGCGTGGACAAAGGTGACGGGCTCCTCTCGGTCCATCTTCAGTGCCCAGCTCACCATGTCGCTCTGTCTGCCCCTCAGTAGATGCAGCTCCTGCAGCCCGGCTAGAGCAGCCTGCAGCCGCTCCCCGACCCTGCTGCGGTCCACTCCCACTGCAGCACTCATCATCCCCGCACAAGACCCCTTTCTGCTCAGCATGCTGGAGAGCGATGTCCGGGCATTATCCGGAAAACAATGCTAATAAAGAAACGTCCAACTCGCTGGACGATTGCTTGGTTAGTCTCTGTCTCTCTGCAGCTGCTACTGCTGCTCTGTTTGGGCTTTGAACTACCTGTAAATTTTGAGCTGAGAGGAGACTGAGCTCCTCCCACAGACCAAATGGCCTCCCTCCCTATTGGCTGGTTGCTGGGTTCCGATGAACATTTGGTGGCCTGTTAATCCTCCGGTTCAAGCCCCGGAGCTGCCTAGGCACGTACTGAACACCTCTGCGTAATACCGCATGGCGTCCATGTTATTATTCTATTTTCACCAATCTTTTATTGTTTGTATTCTCTCCAGTGCCAAGCTAAAGCAGAGAGGCTCTGTGCTCAACTGTGTAAAAGTCTTAGGTGATTTTTTTCAGATTCAAATTAATCAGCCGAGAAGGCAGCTCTGAGACAGGAGGAACACATTTGACAGGCTCCTGTCAATGGTATAGTTTTATCAAAAATTCAAAGCTTTAGATCACATTTTAAAATCTTCATCTGTAAAACATAAATCCTTGATTTAAAGTTATTTTAAAAACACTCATTTATTTCAAATTTTTAACTTGGAAACAGAGCATTGAAAGAGAAAGCAGAAAAAAAACAGTGATAGATGAATGACGTCCCCTTGTGGCAGTATGGACTGCTACAGTTTCAATGCAGCTGGTGGCATTCAAACAATGTAGTGAAACATCTGCTGATGCATAAACATAACTTGAATAACTAACTAAATAAAATGAATGAAAAGCTTGTAAAGTTACTCTTCAGTTTGTTGACTCTGAGGTCCCATGACCGCGGTTTGATCAGCATACATGCGTCTCTGTTAAACTGAGTCATCAGCTACCTATAGCTGATCTTCAAATGTAAGTCTACTTTTGGCAATAAACAGAGAGTGGAGAAAATTTTTTGAAATGAGACAATAACACAGCGTCTTGTTGTGGTATTATAACAACAGCAACCAACCAAAAATTATATCTCCCATGTTCATTCATTCATTCATTCATCCATTTGTTTGTTCATTATTTTATCTTAAGATATTTTATGTGAGAGGAAGGTAGAAATTAGAGCTGAATATAAGTATTGTGGACAAGATGTAGAATTGTCTATGTGTTAGCCAAAAAGGTATCAATAGTCTTTATGGTCATTTTGTGTTTCTTTGTACTCATTTTGCATCTCTTCGTGGTTTATTTGTGATCATTTTCAATTCTTTTTTGTTTGCACTTGTGGTTGTTCTGCCTCACAGTGGGATTTGTTTTGTGTCTCCTTGGGCTAGCTTTGCATCTCTTGTAGTCCTTTTTTATTGAGCTTTGTGACTTTCAAACAAGAAATATTAACAGTCACTTCATGCACAGGCTTTGGACCAGGGGCTCCCTGACCTCTCTGACCTCTCTGACCACTGGGCTGGTAACCCATCCACGAAAGAAGATGACATTTATTTATTAGTGTGCAGGAAAAGCAAAAGGTGAAGGTAAAATATCAAACTTTTATATTATGAGCTGTTTTAAAATAAAATCTATTTACTTTCTCATTCAGTCATTAACTACATGCCTTATAAAATCATATCACTAGTCCATCACTATGTGCTAATTATTTGATCTCTGTTGTTACTGTGTAGTCAAAGTCTTCAGAACAACGTGACTCATAGGACAAGTATTCCTGTTCTTTCCACCTCAGTTGCTGTTCATCTGACTGAAACGAATGAAACACTTGTTTTCGTTGTCAATCATCTGATAACAAATAAATAAGCCAGTGACTGAACCCTCATTACAGACGAGGGCAACATGAGGTTTGCTACAGACTCCTCACCTACGCTGCTGCTGTTCGCACTGTATCACAGGTGGAGAGATTCTTTCATGCTGATATCTGCAGCTATCTTGAAGCCGGAGTTCAAAGGAAATACCAAAATACCAGGGGGCATTGTACACCTGTGTGAATACTATGCACACACACACACACCGTGGTTTCATTCCTTGTGGGGACTTTACATTGGCTTACATTCATTTCCTGTAAACTTACCTAACCTTAACCATAACCACTACTTGCCTAACCTTAACACCTAACCTCATCCTAACCATAACCCACCCTAAAATTTAGTGCTTTACTTGTAGGGACTAGCTTCTGTTCCCCATAAACATGTCCGAGTCCCCACAGTGTGCGTGTGTTAACAGGTTTCGGTCCTCATAATGTAGGTAATACAAAGGTGTACACACACACACAATCTGAACAAAAATAAGATGATTAAAGTATCTTACATTAATATGTGGATCATATGCTGAAGGGCATTTAAGTTCTTAAATCACATTAACACTATGCAACTGAAGAGTGAATTTAAAACCAGAATTTGAGACACTAGAGGGCAGTGTTACATTGCTTCTCAATTTTGTGAGCTTGGTTTTATACTTTGATAGATTGTTGGTGGATAAGTTGTTTAGTTTATGAATGCTGCGTGATTCTGTATACTGGAATTGTGAAATTGAATGAACCTAGCTGCAAAATGAATTGGTTTAACCCCTAAACAATCCTAGTGATCATGGAATTTGCAGATTCTTGCAGAGATATGATTCTAAATAACTTGTTTACCCATCCCTGTTTGCAAAAAACACATTGCCAGCACTTTGTTGGTACACTTTGGTAGGCCCCTCATCAAGATTCTTACACTGGAGCAAATATATGGTGCATTGTGAAGCTCATTCCTTGCAGGGATAGCGTCATGTACTTGTGTTGCTGCTGCGATACAGCACTGCATTGTGATGCCTAGATGTCCCTCTGCTCCCATCTCCATCAAAACATTTCCTCCTAGGTGACATCAGCTGGGGCGTTGCTCCAAAAGGTCCCCTCTTCTTAGTAATAAAGAAGTACAGGTATCGCACTTGTGTCAGCAGCGCCCCTCTTAAAATTATCCATCCTGGCTTCTCAAAAAACAAACAAACAAATAAACAAACCTACCTACCACTTTGTGCAACTAAATCTAAATCCAACTAAATCCAGCTTTGTCTCACTGGAGGTTTCTCTTTGTGTGGCTTCTTCTTTGTGGATTTATCATCCTATTTCCTTTCTCCCCATCCACTTAAGAAACGATAAAACAGCCAAATGTTGATAACAAAACAAAAGCACATGTGCAAGGATCCCTTTTGCCATATCCATGAACAGCTGCTGTGGAAAGA